AGTGGAACGCACGCTGAACGGTGCGTTCCAGCGGCCATCTTGGTTCACTGTTTGGTCTAAGAGGAGTCCTGGCTTTGTTCTTTTGTGGATGTGAGAGCCCTAGAAGGAAAAGTTTGTATACTTGCTGGAACTGAAGCCTATTATATATAATAAACATGCCTTTATCAAGTGTTTAACATGTGAGTGGCCTTAATCTCCGTTTGAAAAAGTTACTATTGTGTGACAATATTATGCTATGTGAGTTTTTTTCCTTTTGGTTGAATGGTGGAGTCTATTCGGATGGTGAAGATTTTCCCTAGCGTGGCACCAAAGAGGGTTTAGGATCCCTAAAATTCCTTAAAGGTTTTCACTCACCAAGTTCTGGTGAGTGTATTTGATGTTGGTTTGTGCACGGGTGGAAGGTGGAAGTATTCTTAAAGAAAGTTTGAAGAAAAGAAGTTCACACTTTTATTTCAAAAATTTAATTATGTTTTCAGCACATGGACTTTTGGGTGTTTTGTTTAAGAGTAAGGATAAGCACTATTAATTTATGCACCTATTTTATTTATTATATGAGTGATTAATAATCTAATTTTGCACTGTTTATTTATATTTATATTGTTTGTGTTTTCACAAATTGCACAGCAGCAGTTTTAGAGTGTTATTTTGAAAGTTTTGGCGCAGGAATACGTTTTTTATATAACATTTGGGGCATGATGTCTCCCATTTTTTGGGAGTTCAACCCTATATTGTTTTATTCTCTGTTATGGGAGAAGGGACAATAAAATCTGCAAAGTCAGGCTTTTGTGACTGGGAAGTTAGTGGATGTTGTGTACACCCCAACGTGGAAGTCCAATACACTATTAGTATAATATACACTATATTGCCAAAAGTATTGGGACGCCTGCCTTTACACGCACATGAACCTTAATGGCATTCTAGTCTTAGCTCGTAGGTTTGAAATATTGAGTTGGCACACCCTTTGCAGCTATAACAGCTTCAACTCTTCTGGGAAGGCTGTCCACAAGGTTTAGGAGTGTGTCTATGGAATGTTTGACCATTCTTCCAGAAGGCCCTTTTGTGAGGTCAGGCACTGATGTCGGACAAGAAGACCTGGCTTGCAGTCTCCAATCTAATTCATCCCAAAGGTGTTTCTATCAGGTTGTGCAAGTCAGTCAAGTTCCTCCACCCCAAACTCACTCACCCATGTCTTTATGGACTTTGCTTTGTGAACTGGTGTGCAATCATGTTGTAACAGGAAGAGGCCATCCCTAAACTGTTCCTACAAAACTGGGAGCATGAAATTGTCCAAAATGTCTTGGTATGCTGATTCCTTTAAGAGTTCCCTTCGCTACAACTAAGGGGCAAGTTCAACCCCTGAAAAACAACCCCACACAATAATCCCCACTCCACCAAACTTTACACTTGGCAGAATGCAGTCAAAAGTATTGTTCTCCTAGTCACCACCAAACCCAGATACATCCATCGGATTGCCAGACAGAGAAGCGTGATTCGTCAGTTCAGAGAAAATATCACCACTGCTCTAGAGTCCAGTGGCGGTGTGCTTTACACACTTTGCATTGCACTTGGTGATGTAAGGCTTGGATGCAGCTGCTTGGCTGTGGAAACCCATTCCATGAAGCTGTCTATGCACTGTTGTTGTGCTAATCTGAAGGCCACACAAAAATTGGAGGTCTTTCTCTATTGACTCTGCAGACAGTTAGCGACTTCTGTGTACTGTGCGCTTCAGCATGCGCTGACCCAGGTCTGCCATTTTACGTGGCCTACCACTTTGTGACTATGTTGCTGTTGTTCCCAGTTGCTTCCACTTTGTTATAATACAACTGACAGTTGACCGTGGAATATTTAGCAAGGAAATTTCATGTATGCATTTATTGCACAGATGGCAACCTATCAAGGTACCACGCTTTAATTCACTGAGCTCCTTCCTAAGAGCGGCCCATTCTTTCACAAATGTTTGTAGAAGCAGTCTGCATGCCTAGGTGCTTGATTTTATACATCTGTGGCCATCGAGGTGATTTGGAACACCTAAATCCAATTATTTGGAGAGGTGTCCTAAAACTTTTGGCAATATAGTGTATGTATCAGGGGTGCTAAAGACCATAGCCTACGGGTGGCTAGGCACAGGTAGCTGGTATTTACTTTGACACTAGGCAGGCCCTTTCTGTCCTAGTCCTAGGAAATGCTGCCTAGGGCTTGAGGCATGCTTCAGTACCATCCTTTATTCATTCTGCCTCTGACCTGCCTGTTATCCTAGCACAAGTGGGACTCACAGGGCACTCCCCATCTATGTAGAGGGTCAGGGTGCCTACAATCTACTTCTGTTCAATGGAATTAATTATCAAGTAAATAGTTACACAATTAGTCAGAAATCAGGCTGTCTCTCCTTCAGCAAAGTCCCTTTAACAGGTTTACAATCTAAGCATTTTGTTTTCCTTGCAACCTAATGTGACAGTTTTATTAAAAGAAAGATTGAAACGATTTTTCACTTTATTCAGACCCATGTTTTTAAGTATCCAAGGTTTCAGTTGCAGTTGCAGTCTGAGAGGGGGTTTTGACTCAAGCTGTAACCTTGTAATCTGCCTCAATGTTCCTGTTTATGCATTATGCATTGCTTTCCCTTGTGACAGGACTGATAACTTTCAAGGGGTTGCTGTGCCTTCATTTTTGAGAAGGAATTTGATTGCTTCCTGTGCAGTGAAAGACAGTCTGCTTAATTGATAAAATACAAGGCTCCCTGTGAAAGGCTGATCAGTGCTCATCCTGACTCAGTTGTGTTCTGGCAGCAGATGGTAAGTCCCCATACAACTGCCAGACCACAGCGATGAATACTGGATGGACAAGCTTGGCCCAAACTATTTAAAGTGACAGCAAAGCCGGAGTTCAAGTGGTTGTAAACCTAAGTCATAAAATATGAACAAACCATATCCCTCTATAGGGTGTGCTTTCTCAGTCCAGAGATCTAAGTGTGATTTCTGTCTGCTGCTTTCTTCCTCTGCTATCAGCATGAGTCACGTCTGACAAGTTTTCCTGACACCAAGAGAAAAATGGTGGTGGATAGGGCACAGCCCATGATTGACAGCCTCTGCTCTGTTCCTGTGAGCTGTGTGAAGGGGGGGGTCCCTTCCCTCTAATCAGCTCTCAGAGCTCTCCCTTATGAAGCATAATTTCTGCTCCCCACCCCCTGCTTTTCAGAGCTGAGAGATCCTGTATAAATTCTGCACTTTGAATGCATGTACAAGACAGACAGCTGAGGTCAGTCACTTCACTGGGTATATGTAGGGGTTTACAACCACTTTAAGCTTAAACAAACATTTTACACTTGTGGTGATATTTCTTCTTCTTCAGTCTTTCTAATTCATATGTACTTTATTATGGATTAATATCAGGAAAAGGATATCCTTCAGCATGATTATAAGCAAATTCATTTTTCAGCAATTATTTCATATGTAGGAAAAGAATACATTAAAAATTCTGAAAATGTCTCTTATTATTTGAAACTCTCATGCAAGCATATCATAATAAATAACAGATCTTATTTTCAAGTGTGTAAGTTTTATTTTCTTTGAGAAGCAACAGAATATAACACACAGACCTTGCTTTGTGACACTTTCTGTTACATGAAACAAGTGAGAGACAAGGTAAAGGCTGTTAAACGGCCCTCCCGAACTTTGAAATACAATGATAAAAAGTCTTCCACTTAATAAAGACAAACTTGTGATATGTACAAATACATTTTTAAAGGAAGACCTTCCACACCTCTAATTATGTATACATACTTCTGTTTAAAATGTAAAAATATAATCTAAAACACAGTGAAATAAAGTTGTTTAATACAGGTGGTGTTGAGTGTCTGTTGTGTTGGCTCTCCGGAATATTACACCTGTAGATGCATGTGAATAGGCCACAGATGCACATTAATTTGAAATCCTATTCAAATTATTAAATAGACAAATAAATAAATAAATAAATATGCATTCGTCATGTTTACAACAGGCAAGCCTGTCTCAACAGAAACAGATAAATTAAATACAATGCAATTTTAAACTGCATTCTAAATACTGTATGTTATGATACCAAGCCAATCTGCTGGATATAAAAGAGAACAACAAATGTATTTCCAATAAGCTAGTGCAGTAAAGCACTAACCAACATTAAAAATTGAAAGTCTGTTATAATTATTGCATTTTCATTAAAGTAAATTGAAACAAATGCTCTTTTGCTATGTATAAAGTTTTACATTTTTGGATGTGTGCAATGCTGGCTATGCAGCATTCTTACAGCAGTCACCCACTTGCAAAGTCATTAAGAAGGTACGTTAGGAAAAATAAATACTTGATGCCTGGTTTAATTACATAGTAAGTCAGAGATGCTGTGACCACTGTTGTGCTCCCACTAACGCTACCTACAAGTCCATAACCGTTCATCGCTTTCGAAAGAGGTTGTGGGAGTCACAATTCTATACAGACATTTCCTTATAAGGATTTAAAATAAAAGGTGAGTTTCATGAGAGGTATTGCAGAAACTCACAATCCATTCATAGCACACATTATTACTTCTCAATCTCAGAATTCAAAGAATTCAACCTTGATTGCATTGCCGATTACCGCTTCACTCAATCAAAGCTCCGCAAAGCATAATATAAAATAATGCAGGAACGTTTTACCAAATCTGCCACATTTCACAGTCATTCCATAAAAGCGTTCAATCTGATTTACATATTTTGTAAACAAAGTGTTCCGTTACATACTTTCATAGTTATTTGAAGATCTACAATAGAGGAACCTATAAATAGCCTTCACATTTCATATTGTTGTGCCAAATAGCTGCCAATTTAAATAAAAAGCTCTACATAGGTATGTTAACATATGCATATACAGTTTCATTCAGTTATATATGTAAAGAAGTAATTGGCCAGCATCCTCCAATAAGGTGATTCTTCTTTTCAGAAGCAGTGAGAGGGAACATTGATGTGAGTTACAAAGATCAATGTTGATGGATCAGCTAGGTAGGAGAACATGTTCTAGACAATAAGTAATGCAATCCCAGTGCCTCCAGAGAGTGAGCAGGGAAAGAAGGAAGAGTAGAGATGACAAAAGGCGTAGGCGTGTTTTCACCAATGGTGTGATGAAACTTGCAGCCGTGGATACAAAAACTAGCAGGACAGCCATGAGAGCTAACAGCACGTTGATGAACTTGCCTAGTAGAGCACGAGCATTGGCATTTTCCACCCCTTCTAACTGTACAACCTGTTGCTGTTGTTGCTGCAACTCTAGTTTAGTGATACGGGTGAGACAAGACTCCACAGCTTCCTAAAAAAAAAAGTGAAAAATATTATATACGGTAGTAACAAGATGGGTTGTTTAGCATTAGTTTGTTATGGTCACCATGGACATCGATGGACTTTATTATTTACCATGAGCTAACCAAAGACACTGGTGGGAATTATCAATTACAAAATAATAAGGGACATTGGAAGAAGCGCTCAACAATAGATCCACTCACTGGGGGAAATGGGGGCTTGCTGCTCAACTTAAATCCAGGTTTAAATCTAAAATCCCAATGGAGAGAGAAGATGAAACACAATAAATTCCAATCCTTGTTATACTAAAGGGACATCTCGGACATTTTGTAGTTCTAAAGTGGATAGCTGGGGGCATTACAATTAACAATTCAATATCCAGAATACTGCAAGACATTACAGCTCATCAATGTATCACCAGGAACATTTCTGAGGAACAGCTTACCACTGCAACAATGGGATATTACTGAGCATTATAGTTCACCAGTGGATTGCTAAAGATATTGCTAGGCATTAAAGTTCACCATTAGACTGTCAAGGACAATACTGGACATTGTTCACAGAGATGTTGATGCCGTTCAATGTTTATCAGATTGTAATTGCCATCTAGATGCCATTTTAAGTGGTGTGTTGTATACATTATATGAAATATGACACTTAGCTGAAATCATCATAACCATTATGTCTAATGGTATTTGATTCAGGCAAACTAGGTACATCAGCTTAAAGGAGAACAGCCAAAGCTAACTTCTGTTGTTGGCTGATGTTATTCAGCCGGTCCAGGCTGGGGAAAGATCCAGACCGAATAGTCGGGATCCACCCAGGAGCCTGGACCAGCACCTGGCTCAGCCTCTCAGTGAGCTGCTGAGAGCCTGAGCCAGCTGCTCCTGCCCCCTCCACAGCCAAGCGCTCCAATAAGCACTGGGGGGGGGGGCAGAGCAGAGAGCCAGAGACTGACAGTCCTGGCTCTCTGCTCAGAGTGGCAGGGAAAACTGAGTGATCAGCGCTGTTTGCTCAGTTCTAACCCTTAGAACCAGCCAATAACACTTCAGAAAAATGGGTAAAATGCCTGCACATATTCTGTTAAAAAACCCTATAGATAAAGATCAGCTTCGGGCTTTTCTTTTTTCTGAATGTCCCTGATTGGGTGCTAAAAAACAGTGCTAGATCATCTTTAAAGTGTTACTAAAGTAATTTTTTTTTAAATTAAAATAACAAACATGTTATACTCACCTGCTGTATGCAGTGGTATTGCATAGTGCGGCCCCGAGCCTCCTCTTTTTGGGTCCCCCAATAGCAATATTGGATCCTCCTCTTCTTCGTGTGTCCCCATAGCAAGCCATTTGTTATGAGGGCACACGGTGTCTGCTCACTCCCGAGCTGTGTGTCCTCCTCACAGCATTCAATTGACAGCAGCAGGAGCCAATGGCTCCTGCTGCTGCTCGACTCCTGTGTGAAGAGAAAGAGAAAAAATGCAGCTTTGCACAGCGCGGGATCTCATAGGGAAGAGGGAGGAAAGAGAAATAGAAAACTTTTTTTATATTAATGCAAGGAATGCATTAAGGCAAAAAATGTTTTTAACTTTAGTATCACTTTAACTGACTTGTCTTGGACTGCCTGAAATATAAGGTTGCCTGCTTTAAGGCATGCTATGAAACCTGAATAACAGTGTAAATAACAATTTAGAAAAACAATTTTTTGTACCCACCATAAAATCTCTTTTATCCATTTGTTAATTGGGGGGCACAGACAGTCTTCTAAGGTATGGGGTATAACTGCTGCCTCTTGGAGAATGGACACTAGGCAAACCAGAACGCACAGCCTACTAGAAGGTATACTCCTGCATGTAGTGAACAAGTTCGGAAGTAATAACCACCAATAAAGTGGGAATGACAGAAAGGTATCCTTTATAAAGGAGAACACATCTTAACTGTGGGAAAACAGGCCCATAGCAGAAAGGACACCCAACACAGGCAGTTACATTCTAGAACCTAATCGCACAATTGTCTGTAGGATCTTGTGTCCACAACTGGCTTCAGCAGAAATTGTAACATCCACACAAAAACTTCATGAAACCAAAGACCAGGTTTTGGTTCAAAGAATACAAGGCATTCTGTGAATGGACAAGGGGCGAGATGGGGCAGATAAACTGATCGCTTCCTTCTATGAGAGCTGAAGCCACAGCAACGTAAGTACAATCTGTAGTATCCAACACATACAAATTTATGATTTCCACAGTAAATAGAAGCAATCAGCCCTGAAAACACACTTGTCTAGAGGTAACTTTTTTTTTTACACTTAATAATTTATAAAGTTGTCTGTATCTGGAGATCTGCTTTTAATTCATTTTAACAACAAAAATAAAAAAAGGAAAGAGATCATTGTATAAAAGGTCATACTTGTCTGGCCCACCTGTCTTCACTTTCTCGTAGAGATATGCTGTCATGAGCCGACTGACGGTAGCCTCTAGTGACCCACAGGCCGGAGTCCCTCAGGGCGCGGAGTCTAAGCCTCAGTCTGCTGGTTCACCAGAGCCCCTGATGGTGGGGATGGACTTGAAGCAGCCTGAGACCAGGTCGCGACCCCCGAGTAACACAAGCAGATAAGAGCCAGATGTGAAGAGGTATAACGGAGTATAACGTTACCAGGCCGGGTTGGTAACAGCGCAGCAGACAGTACAGAATGGCAGGCAAAGAATAATCAGGTCACAAGCCGGGTTCAGCAACAGGAGGTCAGGCAATAGGATCAGGCAGAGAATGGTCAGGACGAGCCAAGGGTCAGAGCAGGAGAGGACAACAGTATCAGGATCAGGCTGGGTCGGCAACAAGGCAGTCAGGAGTACAGGACAATCAGGAACACAGGAACACAGGAACAAGATCATAAGGTGATTTGGAGATGCACAGGGCTGTTTTAAATAGGGCACCCTGTGCTCTCATTGGTGACAGGCGCGCACTCGCGCCGCGGTCGCCTAAGTCTCAGTGCTTGCCGGCTAGTGCGTGTCGGCAATCTGCGCATGCGCGCACCTCCGAGCAGCCGGGATCCCTGACATTGCCCCCCCCCCTACGGGCAGCATCCGGATGCTCAACTGACCTCTCCTTTTTGGATGGTTGCGGTGAATCTCTCAAATCAATCTGGGAGCGTGGACGTTTTGGGCTTGTTCCCATGAATTTTCCTCCAGGCCATAGCCTTTCCATTTAATCAGGTATTGTACCCGGCCTCCTCTCCTTCTGCAATCCACAATTGCCTCCACCTCAAACTCTTCTTCTCCATCAATGTCCAAGGCTACCAGAGGTCTTGATCTGCAATCTGGGAAAGGATCTGGAGTTGCAGGTTTCAACAGGGTTACGTGGAACACTGAATGTATCCGAAAAGACTCAGGCAGTGCCAATTCAAAAGCTACCTCGTTGATCTTTCGTTTTACTGGAAAAGACCCTATGAACTTGGGTGCCAACTTCTTTGATGGGCAAGCCATCCTCAGGTTGGTTGTTGCTAACCAAACCTGATCTCCTGGGCATATGACCAATTCCCCCTTTCTCCTTTTATTGAATGCTTTCTTATTATCCTCCTGGGCCTTTGTTACTGCTTCCTGTAGTAATTTGTTGTTGGATGAGAAAACGTTTACGGTATCTTCAGCTGCAGGTACTGAGTTTTCTGGAATCAGATCCGGAAGAAAAGTGGGATGGAACACATAGTTGGCATAAAATGGCGACTGCTTGGTGGCAGAGTGGTTTGCATTGTTATAGGCAAATTCAGCTAGAGGCAGGAGTGCCAACCAATTGTCCTGAAGGAAAGAGGTATAGCACCTGAGGTACTGCTCCAACGTCTGGTTGGTCCGCTCCGTCTGCCCATTTGTCTGCGGGTGGTATGCCGAGGAGATTGACAGCTTGATCTCCAGCATTTCACACAGGGCTCTCCAGAATTTCAACGTGAATTGAACTCCCCGATCTGATACTATGTTTCTAGGAACTCCATGAAGCCTTACTACTTCTTTGATGAAGAGTTGAGCGGTCTTGGAAGCCGATGGTGTATTCCTGAGTGGCAGAAAGTGAGCCATCTTGGATAAGCGGTCAACCACCACGAATATTGCTGTGTGGCTTTGAGAAGGTGGCAGTTCTACAATGAAATCTATAGACACCATACTCCAGGGTCTGTCGGGTACTGGTAAGGGTCGTAGTAGCCCCCAGAATTTACTCCGTGTAGGCTTACTCCTGTTACAGATGGCACAGGTTTTGACATAAATTTCACAGTCCTTGGCCATACTTGGCCACCAAAATGTGCGCTGGGTTAGCTCTAATGTTTTGCGTATTCCGAAGTGCCCTGCCAATGGATGGTCGTGACAGTAGCCCAAGACCAGGGTTCAAACTTCCTCAGGAACCACAATCTGTTCCCCCTTCCATAATAATCCTTCTCTGTTTTGCACCGAGATTTCAGATGGATTGGGGTCCCCATAGATGCTGCTTGTAGCTTGGACAGGAGCTATGACTGTAGTAGCAGGAAGTTACTGGCAAAATGGTATCGGGTTTCGGAGTTTCTTTGGGGTCTGTGTAGATCAAGACTGGGTGCAGGGCTCCTTCCAATAAGTATCTCCATTCTTCTAGCGCGGCTTTGATTGCCAGGAGTCCCCGATCTCCAATGTCATAGTTTCTCTCCGCCGGGGTGAGCTTCCTGGAGAAGAAGGATACTGGATGCATAAGTTCTTTTATGCCGCTTCTTTGCGACAGGATAGCACCCATTTTCGGATGCGTCTACCTCCAGGATATATGGCAGGGATGCATCCGGGTGACTTAATATGGGAGCTGCCTTGAATAACTTATTTTTTTCAGGGTCTCGAAGGCTGCCTGCGCTTCTGGTTTCCAATGAAAGCGTATCCCTGATTTGGTAAGCTAGGTGATAGGAGAGACCAGGCCTGAGAAATTCTTGATGAATTTTCTGTAAAAATTCGCGAAACCAATAAACCGCTGAACCCCCTTTTTGTCTGCAGGAACTGGCCACTCCAGAATTGCGGAGATC